TAGTATTAACTAAACAATTTTACAATTTAATAAAATAAAATCTAGAAAATACAAATATCAAGAAAATTAATAGAATATAACATTGAATAGAAGAAGAATAAAACACAAATGAATGAAAAGCTATATAAAAACATATCATTTTTTATTTGAGTTAGAAATCTATCAAAACTACGTTTAACGTTACTCAAACGCCTTTACAAGATTCATCCAAAGTTCTGCTTCATCCACTACACATACAATTTGAACTAATGAAACAATTCGTTAAAGCTTTGAACAAAGAAGGTGAATGGAATGGAAAGAGGATCTATTCAATGGACCTTAAATTCGTAAAATGTTGTGTGATGATTTTGTATTGAAAATGAATGAAACTGAGATGTCTGCATGTCAAGGCTTCAAAAATATTAACAGAAAACTTTTTGGATAGTCACAAAAATCACAATTATAAAATTCTGAAAGCGGAAAAGGTGAGGAATTCCAGAGAACTTAGATTATGTGGGTTTTTTTCTCAAAACTGTGATGACTAACGGAGAGAAAGGTGAACGATTTCACCAAGACTTAAAGAAAATGGAAAAATGTAGTATGGTAGGTGGGACATGATTATGATGGAATACTACTATTGGATGTTGAGAAGAGTTAAGGTGAGAGGTAAAAAGAGAAAGAAAAACCCACTACATAGATATTTTTAAGATCTATGTAAAATAAAGCGTTATTTTAAAAAAAATTATCAAACACTTTACCCTACATCGCATGGTCTTCCTGGTACAGTGAAACACACTCTTGTATGAATTGAAAGGACATTTTCTCGAAAATGGTTGATGCTAGTTTTAAGTTGAGATTCATGTTCAGTGGGTCCAAAATTATGGGATCTAGTATACAGACCAGCTTTTGCCTGGACATTATAATCATATTCGTAAATAACCCATTTTTGGACATTTGGGGATCATTTTCTCAAAAACGGTGTGTGCTGGCGCCCAACTGACATCAGATTCATGTACAATGGGTCCGAAAACATGACTGGGTCTTCTCAAAAGAACAGACCACTTTTTACTTTGGCAGAATTTTCTAAACGCTTTGGTCATATAAGATCTTTTCATTGCTCGTGTGTTCCATTTTTTATATAGCGACCATTCGCTACGTTTTATTTGTATTTTGCCATTCATCTATTTTCCTCAAATTCGTTATTGCTGGCTAATTACGATATCCGGTTCTCTGTTCGTTATACAGTTGCAATTGCAGTGTGTGCAACATACGGTCAAATAAATGAGTATGAACATTCGGTAAAGAGGAAATGTACACAGACATGAGCACACATCCATTATTCCGAATGTGGATCATTCCAGCAGGAGCATATTCGCATGTAATCCTGCTGCAGCGGGCAATGACCCGCGTATCTATTGCTTTCCCTGCGATGTGCATACATACATATTCGTTTAATTACATTTTTACACGGCTTAGTTGCCTGTACGGGTCTGTTTTTCTGGTTGTTTAGTTAATTTCCTATCGCTTTAATCGACAACCGTACAAACTAGAAATAAAATTTTAAATTACTTTAGGAAAAGGAGTTTCCTCATTGGCAACTGGGAATTACCTCAGGACTTTTTAAAGGAAATAACACTGAATAAGAAATAAAAATTCGGACGGAATTTTTCCAAATTTTAAAAATAATTGAAATCTAATGTAATACGTTTTTATGGAGGGTGTGAAAGTAGAGGAATATCTAGAGGAACGTCAAAAAAGAGTACCATTTCATTTCTTTTTTTTTTCTAAAAAGTGTTATTAGGGAGTTGTAATGTTGAGGATTTAATCAGTTTAAACAGTGTCAAGTTTGAAGTATGGAAAAGCATTATCTGTTTTGTGCAACAACAATTAATGATGTGGAAGGTGCAACACATATGGAAATGAGGTAGGTAATTATTAGAAAAGCGACAGTAAGTTTTTGTATTTCCGTTTATATGCTTTGGTTTCGTCAGTGTCGTTCGTTACTGACGTCATCACATGCGCGTAAGCAGTTATTCCCTTTAATTTTCATATTATTTATCAAAGTCACACTATCTATGCTATCATGTGTCAAGTGTCAAACTGTCAAAATTAACGCAGTCTCGGTTGATAGCGGTTCATACCATAGACCTTGTAAACTATAAGATCTATGATTCATACTTACCGAAATCAAAGCGTATTTTGAAATGTCTAGATTGATGTCAGTATGACAAGTATTTTTATGACACAAGTGGCAATTTATCTCTACATGGACAATTCTTCTAGAGGAAGCAACGTATCATTGACAGGTGTGTATTTAGCAACAGTAGAAAATGTTAAATATTTTTGAAAATAATATAAACAAAGGGTATGAGGGTCACGTAGAGACTGAAAGATGGATTTAAAGATTTATTATAATGTTTAGTATGTATCATGATTTATTTTTTAGTTTACAGTACAAAATGAAATAAGGGTAGAAAAATTGATAAAGTATTAAACTTTTGTTACATATCAATTCAAAAAATGATATATATGATAAAAAAAATTATCTGGTTATCTAACCTCTATGAAATTTATTATATAGAAAAGTCAAAAACAGTAAAAAAAAAATAAATTTAGTTATATATCGATGCAAAAATTGTATATATTTAGCAAATAGAAGCTCAACCAAATCTATGCTAACTTCCAATAAGATAGTAATTGAAATAAAAAATTATATTAAATAAAAAAGGTAATAATTAATTTCTGGAATTTAAATATAGCTTTGTTGGCTGTAGCCCAGCTTAATTTCGAATGACCAAATTTAAACCATTGATTTTATAAGTTACTCTAGATAAGTCAAAGTCATAGACCTTATAAACTAGAGACTGGCTCTAGAAAGAGATGTCAGTCGCGTTGATGTGCACAAGGCAGATAAAGCTAGTGCAGAGAAATACAGGTAAAACAAGTACCGTACTGGTATACCGGTACAAAAAAAAATTGTAAACAATTAGAGTAANATTCATAGATATTTTAATCAACATCGAGTAATGTACTATTTTGATACAGCAACATACTACCTATTTTACTCCCCATTATTTAGATTATTTGTTACACGGAAAACCTTTTTTGGATGTAAGTACCCGATAAATTTATTATTATATTTTCGTAAACGTTTCCTTGTGATTGGTTCTTGATCCTTCATCATTGTAATATTATTGAATTTTAATCTGTTTTAATCCTAATAGTCAATATGTATAATGATGTGTATGTTTATTTATTGTAATTATTTTAGTGTCCTGAAGAAGGCTTAAATATAGCCGAAACGTCGACTAACCAATAAACTGGTTTTCTTTAAAAACTGACCCCATTCCCAAACAAATTACCTTCAGTTTCAACTGAATTGTACTCATAATGTGGTTCAGCAAACATTAAATTTAAATAATATGTTGAACAAAGAAAGCATCGATATAGTTTTAATTTACGCAGTTTTGCAAAAAAAAACTATTTGAAACAACTACGTCAGAAGAGCTTGCAGTCATTTTAACTGATCGAGCTTACGATATGAGAAAAATGGCTGCAGAAATACATAAAGAATGCATTATAAAAACTATTTGGAAATAGTCATTATGAATATTTTTTAAATAAGTATAATAAAATATCTTTCATTTCAAAATTCTAGTCATAGAATATTGACAAAAGTATCAACAAATATATGTATTTTAGCAATTTTGTTACTTGGACATGTTTTTTATGAGTACTATACCTAATTCTTAATACCATAAGTGTAGTTTTACTCATAGAATTAATATACATACATTTACATATTTTTAATGGAATTGAACATTTTTGTCTTCTAGTCTCTGTATTATTTTTATGGTCTTGGTAGATCGGAAATTTGTCGTTTGTCCCTTCTACCATTCATCTGAATATAATTAAAAACATAACACAAACCTAATCAATAATTTTTCAAAATTTTCACAAAGTGTAGCATCGTAGTTAAAATCATTTTAACTTCAAACATGAATACGGCCCAACAGAAAAAAGGGGTAAGGAATCGAGTATAGCTAGCTGATTGGTTGAATTAAGTGTAGCGTGCTACAGTCGAAGTTCTGTGAACGAAGCGTTAGCCCGCAATAGCTCTATCTCTCTCGCACACGTCCGTGCGATTGCCGTTTATATTGGCAAAATGACAGTTAGGACAGTCCAGTAGTTTATAAGGTCTATGGTCTAAGTAAGGGCTGACGCTTGCTTAGAAATTTTAACGTTTGTAGGTCTTCAAGGTCCGGGGGGTATTATGATCGACCCCTTTAGATATGAACTAACAAATTGCCTCTCTTTGTTAGATATGACAGGTTGACCCCAATGCGAAGGACGGCTTCACTTCTAAAACTATGCGCAATGTCAACAATTACACGGACCCTCTTGTCAAGCAGAGATCAAACTACCAACCTTATTTTTATAGTTCCATTTTTTAAAATATATATTTTGTCTATAAGCTGCGCCTATATTTTTTCTAAGCACGTTGTATAAAAACATTTTTCTTTAAAATACGATATAATAATTACCAAATATTTTTTTATACATAAAACGACATGTATTGGAATACATTAATGATCAATTAGAATCTAGCATCTTGCTATCAAACGTCAGGTTTTTAAATATTTATTTTCGTAATTTGTCAGACTTCTTATACAGTTTTCCTCTTTTTTTCCAGAAAGCGAACGGTCTCTACCTTCAAAATATTCCAGCAGTTGGTCTTGTGGTAAACCGTTATTAAAGTCAGTATTGCCAATATATTTTAACCACGTCTTCGTTACAGGTATCAGTTTATGCACTCCTAACCACAAGTATTACATAGGTATGACTGCATTATACATTTTAGTCTAGGTTTTTCGATTGTTGTTTAACCTAAACCTAAAATAAAATCTATATCTTGACGTAGAATGTATTTATAAATTCATGCTTTAATTTATGAGTCTATATACGAAAAGAGTCAGTTACGTTAAAAAGCAATTGATAAACTAGCCCTGAAACTTGAATTTATGATCTCAAGTTTGTTTTAGGCAACAACAGTTACACTCACAAATACAACACTAGATCTTCAGGTGAGCATCACGGATATCAGTTGAAATAACTAGTCTTATCTCAGTCATGTTCTAAATTTCAGCGAGAAAGCTTACTGGCGGGTCACAGTTCAAGAAATTATACGTGGATCTCAGCGACTGCAAAGTAAATACCAACGAGCAAGGCCAGGAAGTTAATATAGGGTTAGTTCCTCAAAGTTCCGAGTTTAGAAGACGCAGGGAAAGCACTTCGAGTGAAGACAGCAGGGTGTTCGACTTTGAGCATCACGCATATTCCAAATCTTTACAATTGAAATATAAGGTCATGGACAACATAAACCCCTGTGATCCTGGTGGTAGAAATAGAAGCAACTGGTTAAAGTATTTTGTGCTGATAAGTAAGAAGATAATGATTTTTTTAATTTGATTTTTTCTTGAATTCCTTAATCCAAATTCTGAACAAAGTGCAAATGTTTCAATTCTGACAAGATGATCTGTAGTCAGTGGTTTTTTATGTCTTCTAAACCGGATGTGTACTGTTTTTGGCTGTTGATGACTTGTATTTGCACAAATTCACAAAAAAAAGGTTAATAGAGAAAATTATTGCTTTTGGAACAATTTAATACAAGCACGATTTTCGGATCAAATTAAAAATGTGTATAAAACATAGTCCAGGCGGTCCAATAATTATAATTTTAATTTTTTCGTTTACTTTTAAAATATTTATCTAAAATTTATTTTTTATTTATAAAAAAAAGTATAAGAATCTTTTGGATACTTAATTAATACCAACAACATGGTGCAACATGCAAAAATTTTGATGTGAAAATTAACATAGTAAATAAATAAACATAATAAATTAATCATTTTTTAAAGTAACTGTTTATCGGCATGTCAAAAGTCCAATAATTAATAATAAAAGGTAGTTGAAAATATGATAATTGAATTTTTTAAGTTGCGAGACATCGATTTAAAAAAAAATCATCGAAATTGGTCCATTAGAAGCTGAGATAAGTGAAATTTTTCCGAGCGTCGCAGTTTTGAACTCGAGAATTCAGATCGGAGTAGCTGTGTGTTTGCTCCCCCCACCACTGATACCTCATTGATTTCACGCGGTCTTGAATATCTTTGAGTGACATTTTAAATGGGACGCCCGTGATTGCAAATTTTGAAAATTTATATCTGGAAAGTACTCGGAATGACAAACCTATTAGTTCAAAAAACAGCCCTTATACCCTTATAGTTTTGCTGTAAATAAGGGTTAACTTTAACGGGCTATAACTCCGAAAATAATGGGCGGATCATCAGGTTTTTTTTTAAATACTCGCCTTTCCGAGTACTTTCAAACCATATTTTAAAATAAAAAAAAATTTGAAAAAACATTAAATTATTGCAATTGTTTATAAGCGTGAAAATTGCGAAAATGTTTAAACAATCACCACGGCTCACCTAATCGTCCGATTTGAATTTTTCAAAAAGCATTTTAAAGCTTGAGAGCTCTTCTTTTTGTGGTGAAATTTTCAAGTATTCAAAGGCTTTAGATTTTTAGAAATTTGATTTTGAAAATTCTTTAATTTAAAAAAATAAAAAAATTAAACAATTATTATGTAAAAACTATCGAACCGAATTGGATGAAATTTGGTGTGATGATTCTATGCACTAAGAAGTTTAATTGGGAAAAGTATGAAGATCCTAGGTATTATTCAAGTGTCTGAAAAAAATTGACAAATAAACTAGCATTTTTTGCAATTTTTTAAATGATTTTTCCGATTTTTGCAACAACAATAATTATTTTTTCGAATTGCAACTAACTCTATCTTGATCAAAATTTAATTACAAAACTTTTTTTCCTCTTCCATTTTTGTCTAAAATGAATAGTTGCTAAGTTGTCGACGAGAAATCCAAGAAAAAAATGATTTTTTTTGCTATTTTTTTATACTTCTTTGCAATAACAATTAAGACTTTTTTTTTATTTGCATAGAAATATTATCATTTCTGATGTTATTTAGAAGCCGTTAAAGCAAAAATCTCCTATCATATGCGTTTTACCCAACCCGAAACAAGTACCGCCTGGACTAATATAAAAAATTCACAAATGGTGACCAAAAATGAAAAATCAGGCTTTATCGAAAAAACATAAGAGAGTAGTAATTTGTAGAAAACTGAAAGGCGAATCCGAAAATATCATGGCTGTTACCGTAATGCAATGGCGTACTATTTTATTTAGAAAATTATGTCACCCATACCCTGTCTCTCCGCCACTGGAGCATGTAAATTTTAGGAAAAGCCCTCAGATTTTGGACAATATTTACATAAATACATGTGCCCGATTTCAAATTATTTCACTTACTAGTTTTTAAATTATTTTAAAAAATTTAAAATATTTTTTGAAGTTCAGCATCCTGTATCTTTTTAACGAAGCCCACTCTTAAAATTCACCAAAGAATACGAGCTTTCATTTTTGGTCATCATTTGTGAATCACCCTGTATAACTATTACTAACAAGAATACATAAAAAAAAGCGGTAATGTAGATGAATAAATTTTAAAATAGTTACCTTTTTTGAAGTGTACTTTTAAATTTCATTCGACTAAAAGTTTAGAACATTTTTTCGAAAGAAAAGAATTCAAAATTTGGATTTGCCGACAAGAGATTTTTTTATTAAGCTAGTTATGACCAGGTGGATTCCAAGCAAACCAACGAGATATATTCTTTGCTCAATATAAATATGAGTCATCAATGGCTAAAAATGTATGCTAACGGACCCCGCAATAATCTTAAGGAAATTGGGTTTCAGCGGATTGGTCTGAATTTTTGGTATGTTGTAGCCCTAACCATACTGATCAAAAGTCCCATTGGGCACGACCCCCCCATACCGTGTGTTTTTACCACCAAGGGCATTAAAACCCCCCAAATTCTATTCGTTCGATTTCAGCGGAATCGTTCAGAATTTTTGATATGTTGCAGCCCTAATCAATCTAATCATACCAATCAAGATTCCCAATTGACACGACTCCCCAAATGGCGTATTTTCGCTGCTAGGGGGCANCCACCAAGGGCATTAAAACCCCCCAAATTCTATTCGTTCGATTTCAGCGGAATCGTTCAGAATTTTTGATATGTTGCAGCCCTAATCAATCTAATCATACCAATCAAGATTCCCAATTGACACGACTCCCCAAATGGCGTATTTTCGCTGCTAGGGGACACTGAAAGTCCCCCAAAAGCCTATTCATTTGACAAATACAACTTTTTCGCAATAATCTTATGAAACTTAGGTTTCAGCGAACTCGTCTGAATTTTTTAACTCTTAGATTAGCGCGAGATGCTTTCTCACTACTATCTCCCTCCCGTTTCTTGCAGAGAAGGGATCATCTAAACGAATTACCTACGAAAATGTTTTAACTCAACCAACTTTTATTTGCTTTAGTTTAGGTTTCCAGTGCCCCCTAGCGGCGAAAATTATTCGCCATTTGGGGAGTCGTGTCAATTGGGAATCTTGATTGGTATGATTAGGGCTGCAACATACCAAAAATTCTGAACGATTCCGCTGAAATCGAACGAATAGAATTTGGGGGGTTTTAATGCCCTTGGTGGCAAAAACATACGGTATGGAGGTCGTGCCCATTGGGGCTTTTGTTAGAGTGGTTATGGCTATACCATGCCAACAATTCAGCCCGTTTCGCTGAAGCCCAAGTTCCATAATGTTATTGCGAAAAATCTGCAGTTTTTAAATGAATTGGCTTTTGGGGGACTTTCAGTGCCCCCTAGCGGCGAAAATACGCCATTTGGGGGTCGTGCCCATTGGGACTTTTGATCAGTATGGTTAGGGCTACAACATACCAAAAATTCAGACCAATCCGCTGAAACCCAATTTCCATAAGATTATTGCGGGGTCCATTGCTGCGGGTACTTCGACTACACTGTAAAAACTCAAATTCACTCAATTTTACTCAATAACTGTTATTTGTACTTTATATTGTTTAGATGTTACATGTTATTGATAGAAAATTATAAAAAAATCAGAATTTCCAGAAAGAAAGAAACTTTTCTCCATGTTTCTTGTATAAATTAATCAAGATACGAAAAACATTCAAGATACAAGAAAGTTGTATTTTTAGTTGCTTAATTCAAAAAATATAAAAATTACAAAAGAGCCAGTGGCGTACATTTTTTTTTGTCAAAAATATTCATTAAGGTACCGCTTGGGACGCCACTGGACTTAATAAATCTAATCAAATTAGGGTTAAATTAGTCCCTTAACACTACAAATTACACTGCCAAATTACAACAAAATAGGGTAAAGGGTATTTAAGACATTTACGAAATAGATTTTTTTTTTAAAGTTTAACAGATATATATCTTCAAAATGAAGCATCAGCGGACCAATGTTTATATGAACTTTTCGTCTTATAATCATTCAAATAATCGTGTGTTGAATTTATTGTACATACTTAATTAACACCCTGTATGTGGCATAATTTAAATATATTTAATATAACTCTACTGTTATATTTTCTCGTGTAACAAAAAAAATAAACGAGAATTTTTTTATGGATTACAAAAAATGTAAATACAATCGAAAAGGAAACATTTCTGGAGAATCTCAAAATTTTCTTTCGAACAAAAGATTCCTATATACTTTTTGTGAAACGAATAATTTTAAAGTTGTTAGTGACAATGTCACCAGTATTCCAAATCCCATTAATGTTTTCCTTTAATTTGTTATATCATAAGTTCAAGTTGTATCACTCTGCATCCAGAATCTTCAGAGATATTTCTAAAATGGCCGAGAAAGACAAAATAAGTTTTTACAGGAAAACTTTGCAGATGATTGATAAATAGATTATGTAGATGATCGGATCAATACATTTTCAATTAAACTAAAACAACAAGAACAATCTAAAAGACAGCACTCAATTAGTTTTAAAAAGAAACTACACTCTCTTGGAAACTATACTTAAACGATTTTATCTCTCTTTTCAACTAACCTAATTGTGAAGTTTTTTATATTTCAATTCGAAGGTATCACGAGCATTATGTACATTTACATACAAACGCTGCACAGTTCAGATTCTATTAAAAGATTGGGCAGAGATTTGGATAAAGTGAAGCTCAATATAGAGGATTCGAAAACCAAACTGAACAGGATAGAGAAGGTTCTGAATAACATCAAACAGCAACAAGGTAGGTATTTTTAGTTAAGTCTAATTTTAGGATGTCCATATGATAGCGTAAAGTCAGTATAGTGTTACATATCTCTAAAAAGAGATAAAACCAAACTTTTCTGAAGATGAAAACTTTTCAAAATAAATAAAACATACAGGATTTATTTACCTAATAAGCATTTAAAAATCCAGCATCTGCGGTACGTGATCAAATAGGCGTGGCTACTAATCTGTAAGGAAAACAAGTCAAAACATAATCTGAATACTATTTGTTTTTATATTATAGATTGGATGTTTGTTATCTACAAATCCTTTGCATGTTTGTTATTTCTGTAACATGTTTGTAAAAAGAACCATACTTTCTGCTTGTTTCTTATACCAACAGCTTAGATCATGGATACAAAAGGTAAAACGTGGTGTGCTTTGAACATATCTACTGAATTTTGTATCTTTCCACTCAAGCCTTTTGTCTCACAAACTAAGCTTAAATATTAAATTCTAAAGGAATTTTGAGAAGACACTGTGTAGCCTCTTGAGTTACTTCTACAATCCACTACCGCAATAAAATTAAGCATTGTAGTAGCATATAGCACTAACGATTCTAATAAATTGCATGGAATAAAAGTGATTTTTTTCCAGATAATTTTTATTCCTAAAATGATTCTATTCAATGCCAGTTAACTCTTTTTGGACATTTATTATACAGGGTGTAAAAAGTTTGACTGCCATTACTTCAGCATGAGATAGGGTAATCATAAATGAACAAAAAAGTTGTATATTACACACGGTGGTCTTGAAGGCGAAAAAAGTTTGTCCCCGATAACGCAAAAATCGGGTTAGAGGGTTCGTTTCCTGGACTCTTAACAATGAAAAATCCGTGAAGAGTGAAATCCCAGCTGATCGCCTACTCGAGTTTTCCACCATCGAAATTTTTCAAAATGAAGGGAGCAGAAGTCCCATAAGGTGTGTGTGTATGAGCGTATGTGTGTATTTGTCCGTGTGTACGTGTGGGTGTTTGAAACATAGAAATATATTTAGAAACTTGAGCACAACATAAACCATCACAATAATTTGGAAAAATAGAATTTCAAGGATACAAAAACAGCCAAAATTTTGAGGAATTTTTTCCGTGTGTGTGTGTGTCTGTGTGTGTCTGTGTGTGTCTGCGTGTGTCTGCGTGTGTCTGTGTGTGTCTGTGTGTGTCTGTGTGT